CCTCCCTCCCTCCCTCCCTCCCTCCTTCCCTCCCTCCCTCTCTCTCTCCTTCTCTCTCTCTCTCTCTCTCTGTCTCTCTGTCTTTATAGTAGCCATTCTGCTGGCTGTGAAGTGGTTCTAGCTTTGCTTTTTGGAAAGGAGATGAGTGGCCTTTTTTGACTGGAACATTTATAACCGTCAGGCTATGGTTGTACAATCTCAAATGGCTTATCTCTTGAACATCCCCTCCCCCAGCTGATAAGAGAGCTATCATTAGCCCATGGCTTAGAAAGGTTAAGAACTTGCCAAGGTCACAGGTAAACTGCAGAGCCAGAAATTGAACAGAGGTCTTATCGCCTCTTTATTTCACTCTGCATTAAGTAATCCACCCCATTGCATTTAGGCACAGAAGGTGAACCCCTGCCACCAAAGGTCACACAGCTGATGATGACAGAGCAATGTCGTCATCCAGTGTTCAGCCATCGGGAGGATGAGCAACACTGGCCTTGAGTGCTACTCTGGAGACGTGGCTCCATGCCCAGACACCAATATTTCTGCAGGAAATAACTCAGGTGTCATGACTTCTTATATGTGAGTGTGTGTATAATATTTTTATTAATTTTCAGAGAGAGAGGAAGGGAGAAGTAGACAGAGAGAAACATTGATGTGAGAGCAGAATATCAATCGGGTTGCCTCCTGCACACCCCCTACTGGGGATCCAGCCTGAAACAGCAACCCAGGCATGTGCCCTGACCAGGAATGGAACTGATGAACTCTTGGTGCACGGTGCATGGAACGATGCTCAACCAACTGAGCCACACTGGCCGGGTTAGGTGTCATGACTTCTATATCTTCTAGCTGGTCCATAAGACAAAGGCTGGGGAGCTTCTTAACCCAAAAATCTGGGAATGGTCTTTTGGGGTCCTAAACTCAAAAGCTATTCAAAATCCCCAAATGAATGGATATTGGTTCATTTTTTCAAAGAAGAGCCTCTTTCATTGCTTTCATCAGGTTTCAAAGGGATCCATGACCCAACGAAGACTAAATAAATATATTTATTAGTCCTAAGTGTGTCCCTAGCTACGTGACCATAAAAACATGACCCCTGGGTCTTGGCAGAAACTATTTCATGGAAGTAAGCTCTGAGTAGGAAGGTGGCCCCAGGCCTGGGGCTTAGGACCTGTCAGATTCCTAATCGTCAGTTGAAAACATTTCCTGATGGCTCTTTGATAGCTTCTTTCCTCCTTTCCTGGCTGTGCCTTCTCTGTTTTGCTGACTTCTCTTCTTTTCTACAATGTCTATAGTTGGAAGGTTTCAGAGCTTAGGCCTTAGACCTCCTCCTCTCCTTACTCTCCCCCAAGGTGGTCTCATCTGATCTCAGCTGCACCCTGACAACTCTGGATTTTTATTCCCAGCCCAAATGTCTCTGCAGACTCATGTAGCCAAGCAATCACCTTCCTGATAGCTCCATGTGGCCATCTTCCAGGCATTAGCAACTTCCCCAAACTGTTCATTTCATTCAGTCCCTTACCTCCAACCCTGATCCTCCCTCCCTTGGCCACTAGCACCACCATTCATCCAGGTATTAGACTAAATACCCAGGAAGCTTCCTCTTTCTCTTCCTCATTCTATACATCCAGTCTTCCCGCAAGTTCTCTCAATTCCAAAAGATCTGGAATCAAGATCTTCCCTAGCTCACCCCTACTTAATGCATTCCAATGCTTCCTATTACACTAGAAAAAACTTCAGGGCTCCTGGCAACCCTCTCACTCACTCCACTCCAGCCACACCAACCTCCTTGCTATTCCTTAAACAAATTAAATTTTTCCCACACCTGAGCAGCCTTTGCTCTTGCTCTTTCTTCTCCCTGGCTATTTGTATTCCAACACCTTTTCATCACTCAGGTCCTAGTTCATATGTCTCCGGCTCAGGAACTCCAACTCTGATCACCCTCCCCCACCCCAAATCTAGTGACTATCCTATGACCCTGTGTAACTGCCGTCTTAGCAGGTGTTCCTGTCTAAAAAGATTCTGTTCATGTTTTCTTGCTTATTATGAGGTCTTGCCACTACAGCAGTGACTTTCAATGATATTTTTATGTGCCCTATAGTAATATAAATTTCACATGTGACCCAGCCATCCAGGTGTTATGGCTGTGTAACAAATTACCCCCAAATTTACTGGCATTAAACAATGGCATTTACTTTCTCACAGATTTGCAGTTTGAGCAGGGCTTGACGGGGATAGCTCATTTCAGTGGCTCTTGATGTCAGCCAGGATGGCCTGAAGGCTGAGAGCTGGAATCATTTTTGTATTCATTCACTAGTCTGATGCTTCATGCTGGCTTAACTAGGGCCTTATATGGGACCTTTATGTTGCCTGGGCTTCCTCTCAACATGGCAGCTGGGCTCAGAGAGAGAGCATTCCGAAACTGAGAGACAGAGAGAGATACAGAGAGCTAGCACCAGGCAAAAGATGTATCCTAGTTTCTGACTTAGGCTTGGAAGTTGTACAGTGTCCTTTCTGCCACATGGTATTTGTTGCACAAAGTCCTGCTCATGTTCAAGAGGAAAGGAATTAGAGTCTACCTTTTGATGGGAAGTGGCAAGGTTGGAACTACAGTATTTCTGTAGCCATTTTTAAAAAATACAATCTGCCACACTTAGTACACAAATGCAGAGTTAGGAGTGTCCCCAAACAATACAAGTACTTAACTAGCCTTCCATACACAATGTACAGAATTTTTCCATTACATTTTGTAGAAACCATGATCCACTGCATATATTTCTTCACCTCAGTTTGAGGAACATGTCACAAGCGTGCAGTTTGTCTTTCCTGTAACCCTGCACATAGCATGATGCTTGGTGCTTCAGGCACCTCGCCGGCTAGCGTTTCATATGTTTTATTTAACACCTATATAGCTCTTAGTGAATAACAGATCGTCCTAATTTAATCATCACGCCAACCCTGAAGAAAGTGCAATAATGATCCTCATTTTAGTGAGAAGGAAAGTGAGGCACAGAGGGATGAAGTTATCTGCCCAAGGTATTAGCTAGTAAGCAAAGCTGGGATTGGAATCCAATAAATCTGGTGTAGACTCCATCTTGCTATGCGGCCACCTGTAGAATTTACCGATGTATTGTGAGTCTCCCACGCACACTGTAGAGCCTCAGCTCCACTAGAAGCAATTGGCTGCTTAGCCGCTAGAACGTCGCCCCGCACGCTGCAGGTGCTCCACCCGAGAAGTTACCAGCTTCAAGCTCTAGCAGCGGCTTTCTAGTCTGCGCACGCGTATCGGGTAGGACTCCCGGCGGCACCACCCTCCCCTGCGTTCGTTTGGCCAGGGTCCGTGACTGACGCACGATCCAGCGCAGGCGTACTAGGCGAGAAGGGGCGGGCCCCCATTTGTTAATGACTGACGGAAGACCAAGCCAATGGAAATGGGTCGCTTCAGGAAGGGGGCGGGCCGCGCAAGCAGTTAAATCTGCGCGGGATTGGCGCTCGCGGAGTCATGGCGGCCTTCCGCGACATGGAGGAGCTGTGCCAGGGCCTGCTGAGCCTCCTGGGCGCCAACCACGCCGCAGCGCAGCAACGGCGGCTGCTGGGACGCTACGGGCAGATGATGGACCGGCTGCTGGATACGCAAGATAGAGCCGAGCAGCAGCTGCGAGGTGAGGGCGGGGGCCACCGCGGGGGCGTGGCCCGGACCCAGGGCCTGCAGCCGGAGGGTGCGGCCAGGAGGGCCTTGAAACACCCTCCCTCCTGGGTGCCCCCAAGCCTTGGCCTATTTCCCTTGGGACTAGCAGGCGGGCGCTGCTCACTCAGAGCCTCAGTTTCTCCACCCGTAAAATGGGCTTTAGGATAGCAGCCATCTCCAGGGGTTTAGTGGTAAATATAGGAGTTTGAGTGCCTGGCGCAATTCTGAGTGCCTGGTGAGCAGGGACTGGGGGACTCCGGGTTTGAATTGGGGCCCAGGAGTCAAAGCGCCGGGTTTGAAACCCAGCATCTCCACTTCCTGAGGTTGTTTAGATGTTTTACTGAGCACCTGCTATGTGTCAGGCATAGTGCCAGCCCTGGATGGCAGCAGGGAACAAAACAGACAAAGTCACTTAGGGGAGGTGATACGCTAGTGGGGAGACGATGTAGAATAAACAAGAAAAATGGAAAGGTGAAGTGGTGAAGGGCTAAGGTGAAAAACTAGGTTGTGTAGGGAGGAGTGGTGATGTTTTGGGGGCGGGGTCAGGGAAGGCCTCCTGAGAGGAGGTTTTAGCCAGAACCCCAAGGAGGTGAGCGAGGGAGCCAGGGCTATAGTCAGGATTAAATAAATTGATGTGGATAAAGTGCCTCCTGCTTTATGCGGAAAGAACACTGGACAAATAGTACCATTTTTGTAAAATCCAAGACGCCATCAAACATGACTCTTAGCCCTGGCCGGGTGGCTCCGTTGGTTGGAGTGTCTTGCAGTGCACCAAAAGGTTTCTGGTTCAATCCCCCATAGGGGCATGTCCAGGAGGTAACAGATTGATGTTTCTCTCACACATCGATATTTCTCTCTCTCTCCCTTCCTCTCAAAATCAATAAACATATCCTCCGGATGGATTTGGGGCTGGAGAGAAGAGTCAGTGTTCTAGAGAGCTGGGGCTTTGAATCAGTGAATCCCATTCAAATCTAGGCTTTGGAGCTATGTGCCTGTGAACAAGTCCCTGAACCTCTCTGGGCTTCTGTTCTTCACCTCTCAAATGGTGGGAGGGGTTAAGCCAGTTCTCTCAGAGGGTTGTGAGAATACACGGAGTAGGGGCTCCCAGGTTATCCTGCACACTTAGCACACACTCAGGAGGGTGAGTGGAGAAGGGGCAGGAAGTCTTCATAAGAAGGCCAGACGCTCAGCTCTCCTAACAGGAAATCAGCAGGCACCATCTCAAATAGACAAATCAAGAAATAGCATTAGCAAATTATTTAGAAGTATGAAGGTCAGTGCCCAAGAAAATAGTGAAGAGTTGAGAGTCCCTGCCTCAGAGGGGAGGAGAGGCTTAGAGAGGGGGCGTGTGTGCATGCATTTAAATTTTCACAACCAGCCTGGTCAGTGCAGCTCAATGGTTGAGTGTTGACCCATGAACCAAGAGGTGGAGGTTCGATTCCCGGTCAGGGCACATGCCTGGGTTGTGGGCTAGATCTCCAGCAGGGAGCGTGCAGGAGGCAGCCGATCTATGTCTCTCATTGATGTTTCTGTCTCTATTCCTCTCCCTTCTTCTCTCTGAAATCAATAAAAACATTAAAAAATTAAAAATTTCACAACCATATACATGTAATAATACTTCGATTAAAAATTAACAATGTCAGTTTGTAAACACTTAAATGCCAGCCCTTTGGGAAGCATTTTCATCTGTGCTTTCTCTGAGTTGGCAGCTTCCTCCAACTCTATGGGAAGGAACACAGTAACCTTAAGATGTTTTTAATCTTTCTGGGTGTTTTATTCAACTTGTGTTTATTCCGAGTAGGTATTGGCAATACATGGTGACTATAAGATGTACTCTCTGATTTGAGAAAAAAAGAATAAATAATTCAATGTGAAAGGGGCTGTCATGGGAGCACAGTCCTGCCCCAGGAGGGAGAGGAGAGTGCCCCACTGTCTGTGTCTGGCATTACCTATGAGGTCTGGATATGGTCCATGGAGGACAGGCAGGTAGAGGCCCAGGACTGTGAAAAACCGGGCATTTGCACAGTGAGGTGTCTTTGCAGCCAGAGCAGAGAGAAAAGCATGTGTTGGGGTGAAAAGTAGGGAGAAAAGAGGCTGGCAGGGATAGTGAAGGTGCTCAAAGGGACCTGGACCTTGTCCTAGAGACACTGGGGAGCCATGGGAGGTCTTTGAGGAGGGGAATGACTTCACATTTGGCCTCTAATGCAGCCACTCTGAAGGCGGAGGGCAGAAAGGATCGGCAGATTGGCAACAGGGGAGAGCAAGGCAGGGCACCGGGGGAGGCTGTCCAGGTGGTCCAGGAGGGACAAAGGACTTGCACAAGGGAGGTAGGTGGACCTGCCAGTCCTGGATGGCCAATTGGAGGCAGAAAGTGAGTCAATCCCAGGTTTCTTGCTCAAGCAACAGGATGGACTATGACGTTGTAAATTAAGATTAGGTGGGCAAAGAAGGACCTGATTTATTTATTTATTTATTTTTGAGGATTCAGACGTGTTTCAGTGAAATGGCAGCACTTAGGCAAGGTCCAAGTGGAACTGTCTAGTGGATGTTCAGAAATAGGATGAGCAGTTGGGGAGCTGAAGATAGGGATGCGGGAAAGTTCATTGTTGATGGGGGTAGTTGAGGCCACAGGCGGCTGATGAACCACTGTCTGCTCCTTGGGCTCTCCCAGGACAGACCCCAGGAAGCCCGAGTTGAAGGGCCTCAGCCTTCTCCCACCCTGCAGAGATCCTCAAAGCAGAGAAGGATGTGGCCCAGAGCCTTCTTGATGTGAAGGAGCAGGCGTGCCAGGGGGTTGCTGAATTGCAGCAGATTGAAGCCAAGCTTCAGAAGGCCAGCGAGGAGGATACTCACCTGAAAGCCAGCCTTCTATATCCTTTCGTACTTGGGCCTCAGCCTCACCTGGTAGGTGTGAAATCATTCACACTAGAAAACGTGCTTGGTGGTAGAGGCCCTGGGCCCCATGTGGCTGGTTTTAGCACATAAGCAGCCCTCCCTCCAAAACCAAGGATCCTTAACTGCCTGCTTTACTCAGCTCACCAGGGAGCTAGAGGACCTCAAGGAGATTGAGGCTGATCTCGAAAAACAGGAGAAAGAAGTTGATGAAGACACAACTGTCACCATCCCTGCAGCCATGTAGGTCCCATAAATGCCAGTGTGAGTGTGTGCCTGAGTCTGTGTGTTCAGTCCCACAGCTCTTTGTTGGGGTTGACGCTGGAGTAACTTTCTTTTCTCTTTTTTTTTTTGGTCTTTTTGTACAGATATGTGGCTCAACTTTATCACCGAATTAGTAAAATTGAGTGGGATTATGAGTGTGAACCAGGGATGATCAAAGGCAGTATCCTTTGTGGAGAAAAGGAACCCTGTGCACTGGTGGTGGGGCTGTAAAATGCTGTAGCCGCTGTGGAAACGGGATGGCAGATCCTATACACTTCTGAGTATAAACGCAAAGAATTGAAAGCAGGGACTGGAACAGATACATCAACGTTTGTAGTAGCATTGGTCACAATAGCCAAAAGGTGGAAGCAACCCAAGTGTCCGTTGATAGATGAATGGATAAACAAAATGGGGTGTACACAACACATATACAATGGAATAGTGTTCAGCCTTAAAAGGAAGGAAATTCTGACACATGTTACAACATGGATGAACCTGGAGGACAAGCTGGGTGAAATAATCCAGGCACAAAAAGACAAATACTGTAAGATTGCACTTACATGAGGTCCCTAGAGGAGTCAGATTCATAGACACAGGAAGTATATGGTGGGTGCCAGGGACTGGGGAGTTAGTGTTTAATGGGGACGGAGTGTCAGTTTTACAATGACAGGGTTCTGGAGATGGGTGGTGGTGACGGCTGCACAACAGTACGAATGTGCTTGATGCCGCTGACCTGCACACTTAAACATGGTTAAGATGCTAAGTTTTATGTTGTATGTATTTTACCATAATTTTTAAACAAAGATAGTGGGTTATTAGAGCTTAAATTTTTCTTCACGAAAATTTGTTTCAGCCTCTGAATATTTTACTAACAAGTTTTTAAAGGCAATATCGTTCCACTGGGGGTCATGGCGAGGGCTGTGTGGCGGGTTTCCTTACATCGTGCCCTCAGTCCATCGTGGCCCCAGCGTTGCCCAGCCCATCCACCTGGACAGCACCCAGCTCTCCAAGAAATTCATCAGCGACTATCTTTGGAGTTTGGTGGACACAGAGTGGTAGCCAGGAGCCTCGTGGACTATGTCTTGCACATAGCAGGAATCATTTGTGGTGTGTGGTTAGTGCCTTGGTGCTGAGATCAGCTTAAAATTAAATGTTACACATAAATGGGATTTTTATTGGATTTCTTTTCCCCCCTGATTTTGGCCTCAAATGCTGGACTGGCCTGGGCTAGGCAACCATAGAGAATGGACTTAACTGTGCCAGGCCTGTGACTTCACTTCTGTGACAACACTGTACAAATGACACTGTAGTGTATGATGACAAATTCCAGGTCTTTATCATTTATTATTCAAGTTTGGCCCTTTTTTATTGATTTAGGGTGTATCTTTGAGTGCCACTGTATGCCAGAACTATGCTAGGTACCCAAGACAGGTGAAGGTGACAGAGATTCCTTTGGCCCATGGAAGAGCCATGTGTGAGCAGATGCCACCCTGGAGCTGTGCCTGGCCAAAACATTTCCCAGTCTCTTTTGCTTAGTTCAGGCCAATGAAATGTAAGTGGAAGTGTTGTATGAGACTTCTAGAAGGATCCTTAAAAGGCAAGGGAGTATACCCTTTCTTTCCCCTCCCCTGTCCTCTATTTTCTGTAATTTGGGTGTGATGGCTAGAGTCCTGGCAGCTATATTGCCACATGTAAGGAGGGGTGCAGTTCTCTAGGAATGATAGGAAACTGGCTCCCTAATGATGGTAGAGCTGGTATCAGCTTTGGACTTCTTTAAGGGGGGAGAAGTTAACCCTAAAATACCTTGTGTGTGCCATTATTTTTGTGTTTCTATCACAACCAGCCAAAATAAGCCCTAACTGATTAAGCAGGTAACCTAGACCAGGGCTGTCCAATCAATGTGTTCATCTAAACCTCATTTTTGGTGATTTGGGTACTGCTAAGAGTGGGGAGCTTGTGGCCTGCCCACCTGAGGAGAGATGTAGAGTCTCATTGATACCTGTTGCCCCCTGGATACAGCTTTGCCTGAAGCCAGGAGCTAGTTACATGAACCTCTGGGTGTTGGGTTCCATATACCTCTATACAGCTGAATTGTTTACAGTAAGCACAATTAGTGTTTTAATCAGAGAGGGAAATTCTAGGCAGAGGGAACAGTAACTTCCAGCAGCATCTGAGCACATCCAGTGAGCACTACATACAGTCCATTTCAGTGACCCTCGGAGGTCCTGGGGCAAGAAATCCTGCCTGTTGGGCTCTAGAGAGATGGACCCAATAAAGAGGGCTTGATAGTCCCTGAAGTGTAAGAAACCCCAGTCCATTTGTCTCACAAGATATCCAGAACTTCAGGGGCCCCGCTTCAGTGCCAGTGCCTGGCTATACATATTCAAGTAAATGTTCACACAGCCCTTCTGGGCTGCTTCTATTTTCCAGATCAGTAGAGTCTTACGATGTGAAATGGGAGCAGAGTCCCCATCTGTACCATCAACGTCCAAAGGGCAAAAGATGACCTGCACCAGGGTTTTCCCACCTCAGCCCTGATGACTGTCAGGGCCAGTCATTCTCAGTGGTGGGGGCAGTTCTGGACATTGCAGGACATTTAGCAACATCTCTGGCCTCCACCTGCTAGATGCTGGGAGCACCCACCTCAGTTGTGACATCCACAGATGTTTCCAGCTATTGCCGGTATCCCTGGGGGAGGCCCCCACAAACAAGGCTATGCACCAGCCTTGCCACCTCAGCCAGGAATAATCCAAGCTTTGGCCTGTGGTCGGCTGAGTAACAGTGTCACTCTGGTGGACATTTATACTAACAATGCTGGCCTCCCCACTTGCTCACCTGTGTGGGTGAGGGTGCCAGGAGTGCTCCTCAGCCCAGCTGAAAGTCCAGGGTGGGAGAAGAGCATATTTCCCTCTAGCAGAGTGCCTAGGAGAGAAAGCAGGCAAGGAGATGGGTTCCGTTAAAGAGGCTTATCTGTGCCCCTGGCCCAGGGCCTAAGTCCCCTATGGGCCTGCTATCCCTCCCCAAGCAATAGCCTGGCTTTGTTCTAGGGCGGTTCCATGGAGGCCTTTGCCTGCCTGGAGCTCAGTTTCTCCAAGAGGAAGAAGGTCCCTTTAGGGAGGCTGCATGAATCCAGGCTCAGAGGGCCATGTCTGTCCCCTACACTCCAACCTCCAGACAGTCCCAGGGATTGACCCAAAGGAGTGAGCAAGTTGGGGCAGAGGGGAGGGGAGAGCATGGACTGGCCAGGCCCCTGCCTGGATAGGTTCTGGGAGGTGCTTGAGCTCACAGGAGCCATGAGAGGCCCTGGTCCTCTAACATGCCTGGGCCCTGACTCACTGCTGGGATCTGGCCAGATGCCTGGGACAGCCAGCAGGATAGGCTCAGGCCCACAGCCTCTAGCCTGCGCCCCCGCCCCCGCCCATTCTTTCTCTGAGAGCCTCTCCATTGGCAGCTACCAGCTCTTTTCTGAATTCCGGAGGCTGGCCAGAGGCACGCAGAGCACTAGGCCCAGCCCTGTGGAGGAAGGAGGAAGATTCATGTCCCCAGGACCAGGGAGTGGGGAGCCAGGTCACCAGACCTTTGAACTGAGGGTCAACCATACACCACGGCTCCCATTCCTAATCTTGCACCCCCACCTCCAGGGCTAGTGTGGGCCTGGCACCATCCTCAGTGGTGAGGAATATACATTTTACAGATGGGGAAACAGGCATGGCACGGACCAGTCAATTACCCAAAGTCATAGAACAGTGATGCCCAGCTGTAGGGCCCCAGGGTCCCTTGGCTTTTCAGATGAGAAGAAGCCTCTGAGATGCCTGCCCCTTGTCCAAGGTGACACAGGTAGAAAGAGACCAAATGAGAACTGGAACTAATACCTCTTCTTGGTCAAGCCCTAAAGGGTGACAGAAGCAGGCCTAGGTTTCTAGATAGGAAAAGTTATTGACTGGTGATGGCTGGTCAGATATTGCACACCTGGTCAACCTGGCTAATAGTGTAGCTGAGAGGCCCCCCTTACCCTGGACCTCTGACAGGCTTGGCGAGCTGAGGCTGGGGAAGAGGCCAGGAGGACTGGTCTCTGGGCATCAACACGGTGTTTGGATTCCCTGGGACTCTCCATGTGTGGCCCACACTGGTTCAACTGCATGGTGGCCCCAGGACCTCCTAGTGGCCTCCCTGACTGACTGAGAAATGTGACTGCACGTCTGTGACCTGCCAACCCTCCTTCAGGAAGCCATACTCCGGTGGAAATCATGGTTGAGCAGATGCGGTGTGCCTGGCTCCATGTTTTCTTACAGGTAAGGAAACCAAGGCACAGAAAGGTAAAGCTATTTGTGTAAGGGTTTGTTTGCAGCTGATGGTTGGCATAGCTGGGGTTTGAATTGGATCCAGAACTTGAACTTAACCCTGACCTATGAGTGAGGTCATTTCATTGATAAACACTGTTGCTATTTGAGGGGAGGGCTTTGTAGGAGGCCCAGGGAGGAGGTGTCATGTGAGCCCAGACCTGAGCCCCCAGGGGACAAAAGTATGGAAACAGTGATCCAGGCAGAGGGAATAGCAAGTGCGAAGGCTGGTTGTTCTGGAACCAAAAAGAGGCCAGTATGGAGGGAACCCTGAGGTCACAGGGCTTGATCACAGATTCCAGGGGGGCTGTTCTCACTATGAACCCCCAAGGCCCCTCCTTCATTGTAGGCAGCGTGGGAAAGGAGGCCAGAGTGAGTGGGGGCAGCTGGGCTGGGCAGGGTGGGGCTCGGGAAGGAGGAAGCCCCTCCACTGAGGGCAGGAAGCTGCATTGAAACATGAGCTGAACTGCCTGGAGGGGAGACTGGACCAGACCCAGGGGTGAGTGTAAGGCCTGTGCACGCTCACACAGCCCTCAGCCTATTCCTTCATCATCTTGGGGATTCACTTCCTGAGGGAAAGTGTGCTGCTTCCCCCCACCCACCCCCATGGAGGAGGGCCTGCCAGGCAGGGCATTGGGGGGCAGCTTTCCCCCTGCCCCCCTTCTCCCCCTTCCCTTCAGAGGACCTGGGCCCAGCCTCGCAGGCTCCAGCCTGACTCACCACAGGCAGCTGTGGTTTGGGATGCCAGGCCCGGGGGCGGGCAGCATCAGAGGACTTGAGATGGAGCATGGGGCTTGGGAGAACAGCTTCCTCTGCCACCCACCCGACCTGCCAGAGCTGTCAAGCTGGCACCCCATATTGGGGTGGCAGCCCCCAAACTCCAGACTGCTGCCCCTTACCCCTCCAGGACCAACACCTTGGGTGTGTGCCAACCACACAAACCAGAGAACTGGCCATACGTCCAAGGGCTGAATCTTACCTGGGTGATACACCTTTCACTAAGGGACCCCATTCTGAGCCCAGAGAACTGCAGCCAGAAAGAGGATCACCCCCATGGTGAACATCTCAGGCTGGTGGTGGAAAAAGGCAAGGAGAGTCGGTCCAGGGACCCCAGCCTCTCCTTTCCCATATGTAAAGTGGGCACTGGTCACCGCTCCCTCAGGCGGCCATCTCCGGGAACAGATGCGTTAATCCTGGAGACATGTTTATCCTTATTTGTCACGAAGCTCTAACCCCAGTATATGCCATAGTCAGTGCCACAGTGGGGGCCTGATGAAGGACAACAGTGACTATTCCTTTAACAAAACCACTAAGGCCAGAGACCAGAGACTCCCACTACCTCTGGCCTCTCTCTCCCATGTACTCCATCCTGCCCCCACCTCCTCCCAGCTCCCTCAGCCAGCCCGGTCACCTCCCAGTGCAGGTCATTCAAGTTCATTTGGCCTGTTTGACACATGACTGAGCATAGAATCAGTCAATCAACCAATTATTGACCGCCAGTGTGCAGGCCCCTGATGCTTCCTGTTCGGCCTGTTCAGCTTTCACTGCTAGAGGCATTTTGGAACCTTCCCAAGACAAAAGGCGGAAGGAAGGAAGTGCCACCCTGTGGACAGAAATGATAACAGTCCCTGTGGCTCCTGGCCTTCATCTCCAACTACAGATCCCCACCCCCCAACCGACAGAACAGGGAGGTGGGATTAACCTTGGCCCTGTTTTTCGTTGGGGAAACTAGCTCAGATGGGCTCAAGGTCATCCATCTCAACCCAGGTGACCAGGCCTAGCCTGTCTTCTTTCCCACTCCAGTGCCCTGACAGCCCAGGTCGCCTGCTCCGGGGTCTATTCCTGCCAAGCCTTCTCTCTGCTGTGTCGTATTTCTAGTTGGCTCCTTGTCTCCTATTTGGTCTTTTAAAAAATATATCACTAAATATTTTAAAAATATTTTTATTGATTTTTAGAGAGGAAGGGAGAGTGAGAAACATTGATGTGAGAGTGGAACATCAATTGGTTGCCTCCTGCACACCCTGCAAAACCCAGTCACGTGCAACCTTTCAGTGCACTGGACAATGCCCAACCAACAGCCACACTGGCCCAGGGCCTCACTATTTTTAAATGTGATCAAATACACAAAATGTATCATCTTAACCATTTTTAAGTATACAGTGGCATTAAGCCATCGCCACCATCCATCTCCAGAACTTTCTCATCTTTCCCAACAGAACCTCTGTTAAACACTAACTCCCCATCTTCCTCCCCCTGCGGCTGGCAGCCACCATTCTACTTCCTGTCCCTGATTCTGACTCCTAGGCACCTCCTATGACCAATCAGACAGTGTCTGTTCTTTTGTGACTGACATTTCACTGAGCAAGGTTCACGTTGTAACATGGGTCTGAATGTTCTGTTTAAGACTGAACACTATTCTATCGTAGGAACAGACCACACTTTCCTTACCCACTAATTTATCAATGGACACTTGGGTTGCTTCCACCTTTGGCTGTTGTGAATAGGGCTGCTATGAACCTTGGCATACAAGCAGCTGTTTAAGTCCCTGCTTTCAATTCTTTTGGGGTGTATATACCTAGAAATAGAATTGCTGGATCACACGGTAATTCTATTTTTAATTTTCCAAGGAACCACCATACTATTTTCCACGGCGCCTGCACCATTTTACATTCGCACCTGCAGTGCGCAAGGGCTCCGATTTCTCCACACCCTCACCAACACTTGTTATTTTGTTTTGTTTATTACAGTCATTCTCATGGGTGAGGTGGCATCTCATGCTCTGCCCCATTTTCTTATACTTAGGTCTCTGTAGTAAGTTCTTTCTGTCCAAAGACCTGCTGTGGGCTCTGACTAGACCCAGTTGATATTTCGGGTCTGTCTGTGGTTTGACTGCCATGCTCAAGGGCAGGGGTCTGAAATGGCCACAGGCCCCGGCTCAGGTAAAGCTGGGGTGCATGAGTGGAAGCGTGGGGTACTGAGGTGGACCGCAGTGTGCATAGCAGACACCCAAGGCTCTAGCCAAATATTTCCATGTGGAATTTGAAGTTAGATTCACCAAACTTCTTTGGATTTGGATTGTGAAATCTTGATTTTTGTATCAGTGATGAATGCAGTCAAGTTTTTATCCTTTGTATTATCCTTTAAGGGGCCCAGCAATCTGAAGGGACATGCCCTTCAGAAATACCACGTCCATGAGCCTGTGTGTGTCTCAGACCTAACGACCCCCCCCCCCCAAATCCTCACATGGCCAGTTCCTATTCTTTTGGACTCAGCTCAAATGTCACCTTAGAGAATCCTTCTCTGTCAGGTATTTGTCTGTCCCATTATCCTGTTAACATTCTTTTAAAATATAGTAATTTTATCTGTTTCCCTTTCTAAAATGTCATGTCCTTGAGAGCCCAGACCCTTAGTCACTTCTATTGCAGTGTCCTACGTGCCTAGAACAGGACCTGGCAACACAGTGGGTGCCCAATAAATGTTTGTTGAATGAATGAACAAGCTGGAGATTTAGTAAAACCCCAACTCAGGGGAGATGCAGCAGAGTCACTCCCCAGCTGAGCACTCACCCCCAGGCCTGCTCCCTCTGCATGCCCTTCTCCCAGCCCACTAACTGACAAGGTAGGGAGGAGGGGACAAAAGACAGGAGTGCGCCAGGTTTAGCCAATGGTTCATTTAAGAAATTTAATTGGTCAAATAAGACATTCAGACTATAAAAACATTCTATACAGTGGTTTAAAATCAAAATCTGTCCCCCCAAAAGCAGCCCATACAGACAACGTGGACACGGCTCTCCTGAAGAGCACTGCGCACAGGCTGCGCAAATCATCTGCACAGAAAGACGAAGCATCTCAGTCGCCCCTGATGCAGACCCCTGAGGGGTCACCCAACAAACGCAGCACCCAGGGTTTGCAAAAATAAATAGATCTATTTTTCATATATGAGTGATAAATGTTTCAACAAATATACTAAGTGCAAACATAAAATGCCCCACTCATATGTACAGGGCTCTATTTACAGGCTTCAGAAAGAAACACCTTTCACAGTTTCCTGCAGGTGGGCACAGTGTTTGGTGGGTTTTGTAGTGCACGGCTGACAAGGGAGCCACAGGAGCTCCTCCCACTATCTCTTGGGTTGTAAATATGACACATGTGACAACTTCTGAAAGCATTCTTGTTTCATAAGCCCCATACAATGACCGCACCCAGGGCATGTCTTAGAGCTGAAACACCATGCATATTTCAGATGGACACCCATCAGTGACAACTGTCCTGTTGCGGAGATTAATGGCTCAGGGGCATGTGCATAGAAGTGGAAACACTAGTCAGATAATCACGATCTTGGCTTTGAAACGCTGGGAGAAAGGTCCTGAGACAGCACCTCATCCCCTCCCCACTCCCAGGTCCTCCCCAACCTGGGAGCCCATCCCAGCCAGACCAGAAAACAGTGCAAAATAATATCAGATGTAGCCTTACAGAATGTACAAGCCTGAACTGGAAAAGTGCAAGGGCACCTGGAAGGGGCTGGGACTGGGGCATGGGGCTGGGGTCCAGACAGCCACCTCAGGGGCTGAAGGACACTACTAGAGGTTGGAGGCCACTTATCTTCACCCACAAGGTACCTGGGTGTCTTAGGCACTCAATAAATATTAAGGACAATGGGTGGCTCAGTCTTTCCCGAGGAACTGTTGAGGTCCTAGTGAATGAATGGGGCTCAGTTGGCCATCCCCGGTGTGCTGGATTCAGCCATGTCATCACCAATGCCAGAGGCCCTTTCCCGGCTTAAGGGAAGGGCACACACCTGGCTTAGAAAACACTAATTTCATCCTGATCTAGGGGTAACAGAGCAAAAGCTTACTCTGCCATCCATCAAGGCTTGCAAGGCAGAGGTAAACACATTTACTCCTGAGGTTAGGGGCTCAGCAGTTGCCTGACCCTGTGGGTAGCACCTGTTCTCTGGTGTTCAAAGCCACTTGCTTTCTCTTAGTGTCCCTCTGTCTCTTAGTTCCTCAGGTGAAGAGCCAATTGAGTAGAAAAGGTCAAGAAAAAAATTTCAACCAAAACCCATTCTGTGTGCTCTTTCGCCTGCCTCCCAGACGAATAAATATATAAAACACAGCTCTGGCAGACAGGCCCATGGCTGCCAGCGTCGAGGTGCAGCCGCCAGCAGTGCTTTTGGCCACTCCTTTGAACGGAACAGGAGGGTGTCAGAGGTCTGAAGAAGGGTTTTGGGAAGGTCAAGGGTTTGGGGAGAAAGTGTTCTTCCTGTCCTTGACCAGCAGCAGGTTCTGGGGAGGGACAGGACTCGAGGCAGCAGCTTATGCCATGTCATCCTCCATCCTGACCATCTGTCTCTGTCAACAAAACGATAAACGCCGGAAATAATCAGTCCAACATCCAGTAAACATGGCCAGAGGCCACCTGCTCCTCATCACAGGCCCGGACCAGCACAATCACTTCCGCCCTGGTCTCCTGGCTGCTGACCTCTATTCCAGTCTCTTTCCCCCAAGGCGGCCAGAGGGCGTGTGTGAGCACCCAGCCCAATTTTGCCCTTGCCCTTACTCTTATCCAGTCTGTCCTCCCACAGCAGCCACCAGGGGGTGCTTGTGAGCAGTAGAGTCAGGCCGCATCCCTCCTCTTCCCAGAGCCCTCCATGGCTTCCCCTTCACTCTGAGCAAAGCCCAAGTCCTTCCCATGGCCCACAAGGTCCAGCTCTATCTGTAAGGCTCCCTCACTGCCCTTGTCTCCTCTCTCTTTCCCCCTCTCCCCACTGTAGCCACACTGGCCATGGTGTGATCACAGGACTCAAACACACCAGGCATGGTCCAGCCTCAGGGCCTTTGCACAGGCTGTGCCCTCTGCACACCATACACTTCCTGCTTAGGGAAGCCCGCCCAAACCACCTTATCTAAAATTGCCTCCCCTCTCTCCCAGCCCCAATGGCTTTCCTCTGTTTGTCGCCATGACTTATGGTCTCTCCTATCCACCCCTTTGCTCCCCAACCATGAGGATGGCTTTGGAGGATCTTACACCCTCACAGAGAAGCCATGGGCCCCCAGCTGGGTGGGGCACTCACCGAGGGGTAGGTGTAGCCATCCTGGCTGTGGCAGATGTGGACCTCGTCCTCCGTGGTCTTCTGGTACACGGGGTTGTCAAAGTTGATGCTGTTGATGCTCTTCAGTCGCCAGTTCTTCCAGACGAGGAAGGTCCCGAAGCACAGGAGGGTAAGCAGCGCTGTGGGACAGGCAGCCTGGCGTCACTCCCTGCCTGAGCTTCGCCCTGTGCCTCGAGTGACCCAGTGACGCTACCTTTGAACTCCCTGCCTTTTTATTTGTTAATGGTTTTGTTCTGACTTAAAGAAATACTTGATCATTGTAAAAATTCTATAAGCACAACCAATCTCTCACTTGAAGACCACTGTGATTGCCTCACCCCATAAATGCTCAACTGTTGTGGATCCTTCCAGGTTTCTTCTGGGATTACCCACACGTGGGGATGACCCACCCTGCCCGGGCATGTAAAACAGTCAGGCCTGTGCCCAGAGGGTGGGAGACACTTAGGCTCTGCTGGGAAGACCCAAGGCAGGTACACGCTTGGAGGCCACTGGAGAGGCGAGGGTCCCACCTGCCATGTCTGTCAACCCACAGTCATACCACTGTTGGGCACCAAAGGAAACTATCTGTGGGCAGTCTGGATGTTGAAGGGACACCTCAAAAGGATTTCCTCAGAAAAGGGCAAATGAATGTGATGCTAAGCCAGCTATGACTGACAGGCTGCGGGAGGGAAAGCGGAGCTCTCCAAACCTCCCCTGCGAGAGAACCGTTCACCTCCCCTCCCCCAAGGGTCAGGGAGGCCCTTCGTGCAGCCGCTGTCACCGCACACAGGGACCCCGGCCTCATCTCTCCACCTGACGTGTCAGCTGCCTCACTTTGCTCACTGTCAGCTCCCTGGGGGCAAGGTGTTTATTTCTTTCACAGCTGTGTCCCCAGTGCCCAGGATTTGGCACACAGTAGGCGCTCAACTAGATTTGTTAAATGAATGAAGCTAGAAAGGGGAGTGCCGTGATAAACAGGACCCCTGGTGGCGACACTCCACTCCTGAGAGAAAAGGAGCCTAAGCAGGGAGGTCAGGGAACTGAGGGAGGGCCCGCCGGTGGGCTTACCGATGGGGAGGACAATGTACAGCGCGCTCGCACTCCGGGGCCTCTCCTCGTCCACTCTGATAGGCATGTCACCTGGGGCTGCATGGGAGAAGGGAGAGAGTGAGGCTCAGACTCTCAGCCAAGGCCATGGGAACGCAGCAGGTATATGATGGCTGACACCCAAAGGAAAACACCTGATGCCTCTCATTGTCCTTAAAAGTTCAGAGGAACTTGGGGCATCTCCCAGGTTTGAGGGGTGCCATGCTGGCCTGTGCCAGGGCCTTGTTAGCAGTTGGAGTTACGGGACTCAGTGTGGTATTAAAAGGGTTCTTTAGCTCAGCACTGAGAGGCACTGGGGAAGGGACCATGGGTCTCTGAGGTGAAAGCCTGCAGTTACATTCCCAGTGGTCCCCCGTGAAAATTTTCAACCTGGTTCTGCATTTGATGGCAATGAGCCTTTTTTGCATTGGGTTCACCAATTCCAGAGCCTGGGTTAGATCACACCAAATCCCATAGTCCTGTGTCAACTATCCCTGGCTAATAAAAAATATTGGGGTGGGGAAGACGCCGCATTATATAACCATTTACCATGCAAATGCACCTGGGCCAGACAACAAAGGGGCTCAGTGCAAATGAAAATTTAAAGGTCTCTAAAGAGAAAAATGGGCTGGGAAGGTTGAATAAGCCACATCTGGGCCTCATATACGCTAATGAGCCGTGGTTACCATTGTGAGTCACATTCAAATCCACTTGAGTTTTAATTCTACTGGCTGTTGGACATGTGCATACAAAATTTATACCCAATATTACATTTGTGCATATTTAACAAACCTTGTAACAACAATAATCTAGGGTAGCAGCAGGGTTTTTGAAGAGTTTTTCCCTTAAAAGGGCTCCTCTGCCAACTTCCACAACACTGAATGGGCCTGTCTGTGAAATGGTTTTTCAAGCAGTGCCCCCTACCCCCCACTCCAAGTGAGAAGGGTTCCAGGCATCCCATATGCACAGCAGTTCCTGTTTTATCTCATTTATGGTTGAACAAAGGCTTCAGCTACTCGGAGGTGGGGGAAAAAAATGTCTGAAACGTGCTGATGTGACTTTTTTTTCTGGCCAGAAAAGTCCATGAGCTCCATTTCCGGCTGCTCAAAAAACAGGTTGGACGCCCTCTGGTGGACAAAGACAAATGGTGGATCATCAATTCACGGAGCCTAGTTCTGACATCCTTCAAGGAGGTCATGACCTTAAGGACAGGCTAGGGTGAGGGGAGTCACTGGCCTCAAGCACAAGACTTAAAGGGCCCCCCAAAATTCAGTAATTCAGTAGTATTTTAATGCATTATTTTTAAAAATCAAAATTAATTCCAATACCCTGTGATGGACAAAATATCCAGATTTTTAGGAAGACTGGATCTGAAGCTACACTTGAATGATCCTGCTTATAGAACCCTAGGTCCGATCAAACTTTATTTACAAGACCAAGTGGTTGGCCCCACAGGCTATAGTTTGGCGATTTGATTTTTTTTTAAATGCCAAATAAAAATATTGAGTCCTGAGTTTCTTGGTGCTCCCTCAGATGCTGCCCTGGGGAGTACCTCACCTGCCTCACCCTAGTTGTGGCCCTGCTGGGCATACACCTGAAAACAGGCAGTGAGTGGGCCTGGACAACACTTCACACTCCTAGGCCCCTGCACCTGGTGGACTCTGGGATTAGCAGCCATGATGCGCTGGGCTCTTCACACAAGCTAGCCTATGGGATCCCCACTGTTACCGGGAAATGAGTGGGCGCTGCTACTAGCCTCATTTTATAGGTAGGGAAACCAAGGCTTCAGAGATACACGGACCATGTCAGAGAGAGTCAGCAAAGGAGCCAAAACTAACTCCACTCTCTAGCTCTTCATCAGGGTGCTCTGGCCTCTGAAAAAGCCCATCTAGATGCTCATCAGGATGAGCTGGGGGCCAGGGTGGTCCTAGCCTTTACCTTGGTGGGGCTTGGTCACCATCTTGGTGGTGGTGAGCTCAGGAATGGCCACAGTTGAATGACCCATGGTGGCTCCCCGGGTGGTCACAACAGGTTCAGTGTCTGAAAGAATAAACATTTCCTGAGTGCCCTGTGTCCCGAGGAGCACTTTGATAGGTCTGTGCTGTTTACAACAACACATGCCAGTGAGTGCCAGTGGCCATAAAGAAATAACTGAAAACAAAAGCAGTGAAAATACAAACCCACTAATATCTACTTTCAAAAATGGAGATCTGCAGTATTATGGACACACTGGCTCCAAACTGAGACTTTCTCTGAGGATGAGAAGAATTGAAAAGGGCAGATTCTATTTCAACAATATACTTTCTATAACTTTTTTTTTTGAGCGAGAAACATCAATTTGTTGTTCCATTTATTTCTACATTCATTGGTTGATTCTTGTATGTGCCCCTAGCTAGGGATTGAATCTGCAACCTTGGTGTATCCGGATGATGCTCTAACCACCTGAGCTACCCGGCCAGACCTCAACAATATACTTTCAACACATAAACTTTGGGGAGGAGGAGGGAATCACAGCATTCATTACACAGCACCAGGACTTTGAGAGTAGCTTTATGAGTCACTCAGGCAGCCCTGTGGATAGGCCCATGCAGTGGAAAAGTAAGACTTTCTGCCAATAACAAGCATGAAACCGAGTCCTGCACCGACAGCTCCTGAGTGAGCAGCCTTAGAGGCAGATAGTCCAGCCCCAGTCAAACCTTCACGTGACTGTAGCCCTCGCTGACAGCTTCACTGCAACCTCCTGAGAGACCTTGAGGAGTGTACCCTGCATAAGCCTTGAATCTAATCTGAAGATCTTTTTCTTTGAAAGTTTCTGGATAGAAGGGCAAAACAATGAATATAATGAAGAAGGACAATACTATGAAAACAAGATGAATGACCCCAACTCTGCAGAAAGAAGGAAAAAGAAAAGGGAAGATGGAAGGGAGGCGGCAGTTTTCTCCACATTGCTTGTTATGGATGAGAAAGGGCTGTTAGCACGCACAGCGGCCTGCTCAGTGCCGGGAGAGCACATGTGAAATAATGAAATTTACTCTCCTGGTATCTAAGGCTATAGTATCATCAATTACAAGCAAGTAGTTCCTTAAGAACAGAGCCCAGATGCCACTGTCAGGGGATACTTGTATCACACGGGCACAAGTGTATAAGCCACCAGCACTTGAGCACAAGCTTTCCCTGGGAGGGACTTACGATGCTGCCAGAGGCACCTGCACCCTTTCTTCCTACACACCGGAAACGGACTGGTCTGGTCAAGGACCAGAAAATCAACCTTGAGCAAATGTACCCCAATTTTTCTGTGAAAGTTTTATAATTTGAAACTTTCAAATTATAATTATAAACTTTCAAATTATAATTTGAGACTGAATGTAAGATAATAAAAAATAATCAAGATATGCAGAAAAAGAGAAATAAAACAAAACAACCAACCACACAATAATGTAATATTTTCATAGGAGTTAAAAGGATTCACTTAAACGTAGTAAGAAACAGGGTTCTGAACTGAAATGAACAGAAATATTTATGGCAGCAACAAGAAAACACAACAGTTTGTAGTTTTTTGGAAGGAAGGCTCAGAATCACATATTAAAGTCCACAGTGGTTTTTTAAATTCCTAAATATAAAGAGATTTCCCCTTCCTCAAAATAACCCAACTTATGAACTTTGGGGAAAATTAAAGTATATTAAGCTAATGGGTAAACTTCCTGACTAACTGGACTGCTAAAGGGTGCAAGAGTGGATGTGCCAGAAGACTTCAGAAAAACACTAATATTTGAAATAAAATAATTAATTGTTTTAGCAACATTAAAAAAAAGAATTATTGAAAAGGGCCATTCCTCACCCAATGGTAGTGTGTAAAATCAGTCACCTCCCAAGGAACCCGGGAAGGAGTAGACCAGACAGCAAAGGTAAACCGAGTCTATCTGAGTGCCCAGCATAGTGCTGATATGAAAGGCATTTAACATTCACGAAAGGCGGGCTATGGTGACCCCAGCTGAAGAGTCCTCACAGCGGCCTCCTGGGACCTCGCACTCCCATTTGACAGATGCGCAAACAGAGGCTCAGGGCTGAGCCGAAAGGGTGAGAGAAGCAGAGTTTGTGCCGAGTAGGCTGGTGTCCCCTACCTGGGACGCAGCTCCTCTTGTCCTCAGCCAGCAGCATGCCATCGGGGCAGGCACAGGTGAACTTGGGTGAGTGGGGATTGATCTGCGGGGCCGGCAGACACAGGTACTGGCAGCCACCGTTGGGAAGGGTGGTCTTCTCACACCAGTTCACCCCTGATGAGGAAAAGGCAGGGAGTAAGGGCAAGAATGAGGTCAGAAAATTCTAGAAAATTCCAGAGCTCCGTCAGGGAAGTGGGGGAGGGGGCAGCCACTCCACCTTTACCTCTTGGCTGTATGAGGTTGTGGAAAAGGACGATGTCCTCTGGGGACACCAGGTTTTCTGCCATCAAATGAATGTCGGACCCTGTGAGACGGTTGGCGCTGAAAATGGCTTCGTTGATGATATCCGTCCAAAATACTTTATCCTACGTGGGCATTAAGGAAGATGACAGATCCCATCAACCACTGGGACGGGACAGACCACTATCTTCCGAACCCCTGAATCTCTGAGGTTCTCTGGGAAGAAGCAGTTCTAGGTGGTAGCATCATTTCTTCTTTTTTACAATAAAATTTAATTGTGGTAAAATGCACATGACATAAAATGTACCGTCTTGACCATTTCTGTGTTCAGTTCCACAGGGTTAAATGCATTCACCCTGTTGTGCAGCCGTCACCACCATCCATCTCCAGAACTTTCTCACCTTCCCAAACAGAACCTCTGCCCCCATTAAACTCACTCCCCAGCCCCTGGCTCCCCCCACCTACCTCCTGTCTCTATCCACGTGACTCCTCTAGGGACCTCCTGTGAGTGGAATCACACGGTGTTTGTCCTTCTGCGTCTAGCTTGTCTCACTCAGCACAGTGGCCTCATCCATATTGTCACAGGTGTCAGGGAGAATTTCCTCCCTAGTTAAGGCTGAATAATATTCCACTGTATGGATGGACCATTGTGTTGACTCATCCTAGACAGACACCTGGTTGCTTTCACCTCTTGGCTATTATAAATCAGGCTGCTTGAACATGGGTCTCCCAGCGTAACATTTCTTTAGAGCAGAATTCCCTCACCAGGGTGCTCTTTGGGGCCAGATAACCCTTCGTAGTAGCTCCCTCTTGTAGGCTGTTCAGCAGCACCTTGGCCTTTACCTGCTAGATGCCACTAGTAACCCTCCCACAAGTTCTGACAGCTGAAAAGTCTCCAGACATTTCCAAATGTCCCCTGGACACAAGATGCCTCCACTTGAGAAATGCTGCTTTAGACATTTTAGGATTCTTTTGGAGAATAAAACAGACATAACTGTTTAAGAGACCTAAGACCTCTTCACCGTTGCAGGCAGTTTTCTGAGTTAGCCTTGGCTTGAATGAACTAGAAAATGTTTGTTGACCTGTGTGTATGAGCGTTCATACAAACAGCACTTGGCCACGAATGCCCTCAAGCCCCAAAGAGGAGCCAAGTGCTCCCAGACCCCACCTCAAAGATGGCCAAGGAGAAGGGGTGTGCCAGCCTTCTCTTGTCCTCCAAAATTGTCTTCCGGTTCCTCCCATTGACATCGATGCTGGAGATGGAGTGGAGCTTGGAGTCAACCCAGTAGAGGCGGCCACTGGAAAGATCTATAACCCACAGATGGACAAGGAGAGGTCACATGCTGATGCTTGAGGAGCCTTTGGGCCTGGCCACTCTGCTACAGGAAGGGGCCCCCAAATGATCCAGTGGAGATGTGGCCAGAAAAGCAGCTCTGATCACACACCCCTGTAGTGTGTGAGCCTG